CTTTTAATTTAATGCCTACTTTTTCAAAGCTTTTAGAGTGTTGGGCCTAAAGAACCCAGTTTTAAATGGCTCAAATCCATGCAGTCATTAAGTACTTGCTCCATAGTTTCTCTAAGTTTCTCAGATTGTTATGGTCTAAGGTTCATGCCTCTCACCCTAGTTCATATATTGAAATCTTAATCTGCAAGATGATGGTATCAGGAAGTGAGGCCTTTGGGAGATGATTAGTCCCTGTGAACGGAATTAGTGTGTTTATAAAAGAGATCCCAGACAGCTACCTCTCTCCTTTCACCATGTGGCAACACAGAACAGGCAGTTATGCATGAACCAGGAAGCAGCCCCTTGCCAGACATGGAATCTGCCCACACCTTGATCTTGGAGGCCCTCTAGCCTCCAAAACTGTGAGAAATAAATTTCTGCTGTTTATAAGTCACCAGTTTATTTTGTTTTTATAGCAGTCCAAATGGACTAAAACAAAGATTCAATTCACTTTAAATACTCTTTGACCCCAAAACTTTGACAGTTTTTCTTTCCTCCCTTCCCAACATTCCTATGAGTTTTTACCTTGCCTTAGTAGGTAGTACAGGGAGGAACCTCACTAGAAGCTCTCTTTTCTGCTAAGTAGGAAGATTGAGTTGAGAACTATTCTACATTTCTTATTCCTCAAGTCCATGGAGTTTTCCTAGGTAGATATCATCCTATCCCTGCTAGGTTCTTTGACTCCCATCCTACTAAGTACCAACATAGGTCCTTCTTCACTGTACTTGCAGCCTAGAGCCCAGACTCTGCCCTCCTCTTTTAGATTATCAAACAGTGAGCACTCACCATCTGAATCATGCTTGAGACACTGCTTCTGAGCTAAATCAGCTGGTTTAGAAGTATGGAGCTTTGGCTCATCAGGCAAACCATCCTATGCTCACATTCATTCAATGAGTTTCATTATTGAATCTAAAGAAGTCACTGAAGTAGCTGTAGCTGAGGACAATTTTCCCAAAAGTAACTTCATGGGATGTGACTCAAAAAAGAAAAATAGTAGAAATACAATATCCCTCCTTCTAGGAGAGTTACAATTCAATACAGCTTATGAAAATGTGCAAGAAGCTATACTGTAAAAAAAAAAAAGCTTCTATTCTTGTTTTATGTTAATTCTGTTATTTCCCCAAAATTATTTGATCACATTATAGGATTCATTGTCCAAAGGGATAGTATTTTATATTTTTTCTCTCTACATCAAGAGAGAGAAAAGAAAGAAAGCTCATTGCTGGTACTGAAAAAGTACCCAATAAAACACAGTTTAAGTAGAATTATCTTCCTGATCTCTGAAAGAATGCCCTGTGCAAGATCTGAGATTGATTGCTATTCGGTACTGCTGGAATTACAGATGGGGAAAACAGAGGAAGAACTTTCCTGAACTAAGAGGTATAATTCAGAAGAAAGGGCATGCTAGCAAAGTAAGAGAACCACATTTCTTAGGATCCTTCACACCCAGAAAACACAAGTACAGAGAAGGACAAGATGATTTGGGCAGAACCTTTTCTGGCTCTAGAAAGTGTAGGAAACCACAATGAGTTGAACTACCACTTCCTCCCCTTGGACTCTATCAGTCACTCTCTTTCCACTTTTGAGTCTTTGGTACAGAAAGGAGAAAAATTCACTAAAAATCCCACATGGGCCATTTGGAGAAACAGAAACCTGCAAAAATGGGCTTTTTCAAACCCCAGCATCTGAGTGCTGAATGGGAGCAGATGACATGCATCTGGACCTGGGCAGAGAGGCCCAGCTGCTCAGCAGAGCTAGGGCCTGAGCAGCAGCTTCTCTACACTGGGACAGCTTCTCTGGGCAGCTGTCCTGGCTCTGCCCCAGGTCCGGGCAACTTGCCTGCTGAGTCCCCAGCTTTTCAGGTTCAGAACTTGTGCCCTGCCCCATCCATCTGTTTGATGGGCACATCAGTGTTCAGAAACAGCTCTAACTTACCAGAATTCTCAGGTTGATATTCACAAGTTATTATCATTCAAGAGCAATGTTTACTTGCAATGGATGAGACTTTTTAAAAAACATTTATAATAATTCCTTAGTCAAATATCTGTTGCTGAACATTTTCATTTTGTATAGTAAACCACATGTCATAAAAGGTGGAGGGAAACGGTCGGTGTAGATGTTATAGATTTCTAAACCCAAAAGAATCTTAGAAACTATGTCTTTTTTGTTACAAAAGGATAATGATATCTAATAAAAATTAGTAACTATTATATGGCTGGTACAAAAGTGGATGAGTCTTACTCTAATTCAGTGTTTTTACCAAATTCCATGAAAAGGGAGGGAAGGCACCTTGGAATGACAAACTGGCCATGTAATGAGGTACCTACCAAACTGCTGAAATGCATAAATAATTGAGAGCTAACTCATTATCTCAGTTCGTATCAGAGCTTTCCTTTATAACCAAAGGAAAAAATGAACAAAATTTCATTTAAAAACCTTCCGAAACCTTGAACTGCATCTAGTACAAAAAGGACACAGGATTATGTTTCAGAAAGCACATAGGAAATATCATCAGAGCAGTTCATGGTGTCAAAGACATAGAGATACAGAGGTGCTTCATGTTTTCAAGGAAGAGCTGAGAGAGAGAGAGACAGAGAGAGAGAAAGAGACTATACACTTGAGCAAGACGACAAACAGAAGAATACCCTAGAACTCCTCCTTAGGAATCATACAGTCTTCATCCATGTGTTTCAGCCACTGCTCATTAAAGAAAACATTTTTTTAAACAATCACAAAGCAGTTTCCTTTTTCATTAATAATATGTCTCTAGAAATTGTTTATGAAATGATTTCTTTAATGAGAGACACAGGATGCTGGATAAATTGAAAATACTGTATTTCAATAGTCTTAAAAATAGCTGTGATATATTGAGCATTTGTTCTGAGATAGACCCAAACTAAATATTCTACATTCCTTATTCCTATAGCTTTGTGACCACTCCTTTAGAATGGTAGTCCCCATTTTGCATCTGGGGACACTGAAGCTGGAGACATTATTTATTCCAGGACTACAGAACCAGAATCTGACTCCAAAGCTCACTCTCCTAACAATGAAGCTATTGGTGCTTACAAAATGTTGGCATTTTGGCCAGGACAATTATTCCTTGTGCTCAATAATCCTGTACTTTCATGGTATTCAACATCTTTGAGTTGAGGACATGAATACCTGTATCAGCTTCCCAATGCTATGAACACTAAAATTCTTTCACATTATTTTCAGACTTTCCATGGAGGCAGTACTCTCTATAGTCAAAACCAAAAACAACTGTTAAGGAAAATACTGAGTTCTAGAAACTTAAATTTAAAAAGAAATTTAAAAGTTTAGTTTAGTTTTTATACTTAATGATACAGAAAATAATAGGAATAAAGAGAACCAGGGAATGTTGGTTTTAGGTTTGCTTTTTATCTTTATACGTATATTTAGCATCTACTATGTACCAAAAATGTAGCCATTTTCATCCCTATGTATAAAGGAATGTAACTGAGGAGAGATATATTATAACTAAGAAAATAATGTTTATTGAACTTAATTTGCTAAGCAGAAACTTTAATTAGGCTTCTTTCCACTATATTATAGTAACACTGTGGGTATTCAGTGGAGTCATCCTATTGGTGATTAGAAATGGAATTTGGGGACCCAGGAAAAAGAAATCCAACTGTGGTACAAACATGAAGTTAGAAAGAAGAGAATGAATATGAGAAAATCAGCCACATTTAGCATACTTGAGGAGTGCCTAGCACAATAAATTTTGTGATAAATATTGATAAATAATGTAACAGAAGTCAGATAAAATCAGGAAATATCTAGAATGGAGAAACATTAAAGAAACAAAGAGTAAAGCATATTCAGAGTCAGGGAAGCAGAGGAGGCACAGTCAGCAATCCTGAATGCCACCCACTGGGAGCAGTGAGGATGGGGAAAACCCTTTTAGAATTTAATAAGACATCTTAGAACTGAAAGCAAACAAACTCAAGACATTTCCAGAGTATAATAGATTTTTAAAGTTCAGCTTTAAAAATTCCTTGGGAAAGTCATCATCTACTAAGAAAAACACAACTTTCAAGTGATTTAAACATAAAAACAGTGTCAAGAAATTAACACAGAAAAAAAGTTGCTTACAACGATATGAACTATTTAGAGACAAGCTTCCAGTTAATTTACAGGAGTGTGAAAGAGTTATGAAAACAGATCAACTTTGGCCCAGATAGAGTATTAAGTATCTTCTCTGAGATAAACATGAGATGATTTGGGGGAAAACAGAATTCTTATTTATTTATTTATGCAGTACTAGGGATTGAACCCAAGGCTTCACACATGCTAAGCAAATACTCTACCACTCAAATCACAACCCTGTTTTGATTGTTTTTACTTTTTTAATAGCATGTATTAATTATACAAAGGAGTTTCACCATGGTGTTCACATATGCATATATTGTGCTTAGGTCAGATTTGCCCCCTCTATTCCTCTTTCTTTTCTCTATCTCTCCCCACTTCTCCATCTTACTTTGTCTTTGAGATAGGGTCTTGCTAATCTCAACTGGGCTGGCCTCAACTCAATCTTTCTGATTTTGCCTTCTGAGCACTGGGATTACAGGTGTGTACTACCATGACCAGCGGGAGTTTCCATTTTTCAACAACTCTCCTGTGGATAGCAGTGGGATTCTAAGCCATAAGAGAGGAAGCCTCTCCCAGACTTACATCATTCAATGTGCTGGGTTTTTTTCCTTCAACAGGAAGAGATCTAGTGCTGCTTTGGAAAGACCAGGTAGTCCTCTGAAAGGAAAGTCTTCCTACTTCTGAACTCAGCAGCTACAGATGTTTTGTTCTTCAGCCTCCGGAGCTACAGCAAAGGATGTGGCTGGGTTGGAGGCGGGGACTGTGTAGACGTCTGTGTAGATGTGTGTGTGTGTGTGCATGTTCTTATTTCCGTTTCCTCTTTCAAGCCAGCAACAGCCATTGAATGAAAACAGACTCACCATCTACAACATGAGACTTTCTCATGGTCCTCACCTCTGTCCCCACACCTGGAAAAGACTCTACTCAGCTTAGAGAACTACTTTTCCTCAAATTCAGCTCTATACCAGCAGACAGGTAAGTACAGCTTTTACTTCAGTAAATGAATGATATTAGGAGATAGAAGGAAATGGGCCAGAGAAAAGTCAGAATATCAAGAAATAAGAAAAGTCAGGAGACACCCCATACACACATACAACTTCAAACTTACAAGCATCATCACTGTGTCTTTGGAATAAGGATGACCCATAACTTTTTTTTCCTTCCTCTTTACCACCAGAAAGGTAATCATTCTACACAGGGGTTCTTTTGATGACCTGAATTTATTAATTTTTCATTTTTCCCACCTGAAAAGTTCCTCTCTGTCTCTTGCTGAACTCACTTTTGTGGTCATTTCAATAATTTTCCAACTTTGGAAAGTTCTCAAGGAAAAGTTTCCCACTTTCATAGCAGGCCCTGTTCTAGTTGCTATGACTCTGTCAGGAACATCCAGCCTGACCCAATTTTGTTTTCTGTGGATGAGACGTTTTGTTCAGAAGCTGAAAAAGAAAGTTGCTATGGAGATAAAGTATAGCAAGATATCGTGGGGTTACCTATGCAGGAGGATTTGCATAGTTGGACAATGCAAAGCCAGATTAACGTCGAACTCAAGATAGCTAAATATCCTGTTAGGATCTGTTTTCAGGTACCAGATCACAGAGATGAATATGTCGCATTCTCAACCACTGACATAGTACTGGGGGGAGGGGAGGGGTCTCAAACACCCCTTGTCTCAGTGATAGCAGGCTTAGTATGCCAACACCTCCTTTTTCTCTTGGGGAGGATGGAGGAGTGGAAAGATCTTTCACACTTGGGTTTTCCTGTACCCTTGCACACCACTGAACTTACCAGTGGTAGAAGAGAAGAGGTGGGTCCTCAGGGAGAAGCATGGACAAAATAAGAGAGTCCCATGGAATTGGTTTGATAAGTTGGTAAGGGTTTAGAAGTGATCTCCAAGGTAGTACTAGTGACTCTCGTCTACTATAGAGTAGAGAGCAAAGCCCTTGTAAATAGTTTGTGTTAGTGCCTAAGATAGGAGCTTAAGATAAGGATGGAGGCTTAAATCGTTTGTCCAAGCTTCAGACTCTGAGATTGTTTGGCTTGAGTGGTTAGAGCCACAGATGTGGATTCTTGTGTAACACAGCATTCGTGGAAAGAAAGGAAGCCAGGTTTATTGTCCATCTACTAAGAATATTATCAGAGATAACAAGCTGGAGATACGGCAGGAAGGATAGAAAGAGAGCTAACATGTAATTTCTTATTCATAGGTACTGAAGACCATTTAGACTATTTACAACTATACTAATAACATATTCTCATTCCTCTGGAAGTTAAGATGGAATCCTGAGATTAAGCATTTTCTAATGGCCAGAGACACCCAGCATAGTTATTTTCAGTTCAAGGTTTATGACTTGGATTCTAATAGAAAATGGAGAGAAAGGTTGGTCTCTGCCCATGTCATGACTCATATGCTTCATCTGGGCTACAGTAAAGGAAAAAAGGAAAAAAAATTCTTTCCTCTTGCAAGATGACAGCTGTTCTGTCTTCCGTCTAAGGGACAAGACCAAAGTGTTTAACTTAGTACCCACAGGACTCTGTGCCTTTCCCATACCCAAGCCTAATGCAAAATTTCCAAAACACAGATTTTGATTGAGAATAAAATTTAACCAAATATGCAGAGGAATGAGAAGAGTGTGTGTTTTTTTTTTGTTTTTGGCTTGTTTTGTTTTGTTTTTTGAGAAAACAAGTGGGGAGGAGTACAGTAAAAATGAGCTTCATTATTAAGTAAATAAGACTGCAGAATTAATGATATTAATGATAATCAGAGCTAACTCAGTGATCAAGGAATCTGTTCACTCTTTCTACCATCTCTGGACAAAACCGGCCCAGATGAACTACTGTTTCTTATTCCTGATGTCTTTAAAAACCATCCAAATGAAAAAAATCAGCATCTCCCACACTGAAAACATGGTATTACTTTTTTTTCCAAATGAACAACTTTACTATTTCCTGTAACAGTTTGCAAGCTCTCTGTAAAATTCATCCACATGCCGAAAGTAGAAGAAAGAAAGAGAAGGAAAGACAAAAAGGTCTTAGACAGTCTTCTTTCAGTATCCAGCTAAGCTTATTTGTGGGAAGAAGGGCATGATTAAGGAGAGGGAAAAGTCTTATATTGACTAACTGGTATTTTTCTTGCAGCTGTTTTCTAAATGACACCTTTCTTTTTCCTTGAAATAGATTGAAGTGCTCTCTTAGACCACAGACATCTTGGAATGCTCAAATGCTATACTTAGGGTAAGTTTTGTTCCAATGATCTTCCAAAGTGTAGTGATATGGAAGAGGATTAGAAACTAGAAAGATATTTCCCATCTAAGAAGGAATGTATATGACAGTCTGTTGCAGATTGGGGTATAGAGAATAGGGGACAGTCAACCAGCTTGAGGTAGAGTTTGTCCTATTCACAAACAGAAAGATATTGGCTGTTCTGGGATTTCCCCAAGAACTTTACAACAATAGGGATGTATATCTCAGCTGCGATGTGAAGGTCTTATGGGCTACATCATGGAAACCCATTTCCTTTTCTCTCTTCCTCCACTTGCTCTCACTTTCAGTCCCAATTCACAGGTACTGTTTGGGAGATAATTGTAATACAGACAGAACAGAAGAAATCCCTATATGATCCACATCCCTGGGAGAAGGTCTAGAGCACTGGACACACATCTAGGACTGGGCCTTAGAATGAAAAGTGGCAGGAGGAAGACTGCATGATATAAAGGAAGACAGTACACATCTAAGACGCAGAACTTGTGAGTTGGACTTCCATTTTCAACCACTAATGCTCTTTATGACTCTAGATAACAACTTCATCTTCTTCTTCTTCTTCTTCTTCTTCTTCTTCTTCTTCTTCTTCTTCCTTCTTCTTCTTCTTCTTCTTCTTCCTCCTCCTTCTTCTTCTTTTCCCCATCTCTCCTCACCTCTCTTCTCCCCTGCCCTCCCCTTCCCTCTCCTCTCTTCTCTCCTCTTCTCTCTGTCTCTCTCTCTCTCTGCATATTTATGTATTTATATACATTTGTTATATGCAGATTCCTCTAATGCAAAATGAGTGAACAGAATTAAGCTATCTTTCTGATTCCTTTGGGCATTAGATAGGAATGGGGATTTTCATTGCTCATTGTTCATCTCTGCCTAAGAGCAACATCCTTCTTTAACCATCTAGATGTTGCATATTCTATTGTAGTCTGCTGCTCACTCCTCCTTTCTCCTTCTTCCCTTACTCCTAAAATGTTCCAACTTTAGTAAATGGCTTAGACTGAAGACAGATTAATAATAATCATACCTATCATTTATTATATATTACCTGATTTTAACCTCCAATAACTCAAAAGTTTTGGCACATTATCTGTTATCAGATGGAACAAACTTAGGCATAGAGGAGGCACATAATTTTTATCAAGGACATATATGTGTGAGTAGACACAACTGTGATTCCAAACAAGATGTACTCTCATTCCAAGGCTCAAGACTTGCCTTTAACTTTTCTTCGTATCAGTTTTTAAATAAAACTCTGGAATTTGAAGAAAAAGCAGCATTTGAACATACTTATTGGGCTTCTTAAAAACATTCTTTTGTCAAAACATTTATGAGCAGATCTGATATTTGGCAGCTACAAGGTTTGATAGGTCCATCCTTGTTGTTGAAATACTTAAATGTGTCCATAGCAAATTAACATAAATACTAATTGCTCCAAGTCCTCTGAGTGCTGTTGAATAGTAGCCCAGCTGTCTGAGCTCCTTCCACAAAGTTCCCCACACTGGTCCTGAAAAGTCACTGCTATACCAACCAGGCACCAGCCACAAAATTGTGACTATTAACAGCTCTGATAGGTCAGTGCCCCCTCCACCCACACCATTGTTAAATATTCTGAATGTTACAAAAGTCTGGAAATGATGTGGAATGCTAGGCAGACTTTCTCTTCTCAGTTAGAAACTAATTGGGCCCTTGTGGGAAAAACTACTCTGTCAGTCTGAGACAGGCTAAACTGATTCATAATCACCTACTTGGAGACAAGAGGAAAACTATCCTAAACATATAAACAAAGGACCACTTACTTTGCTAAGATTTTCACACAGCAAGTGTAAATTGCAGCGAGTTTATGCTGCTTCATCTCTATTAAACTATAAAGTACACAGCATGTAAAATGGAGAATTTACTAAAACTGTTTCACTTTTCCTTTATCCCAGACAGTCACTGTTGACACTGGATGATGACTTTAGGCTATTTTCTTATTCTTTGTGGAAAGACTATAAAATAAAGTCAGACCAACTAGAGTTTAAATCTCAGCACCACAAGGTCCTAAATATGTGACCTTTCTTTGAGCTTCATTGACAATGATTAGCTCAAAAGTGTTTGTCAAGATTAAGTGAAGTAATTTGCAAGACTGGTTTATGGATAAATAGGTACTCACCCAGATGGTTATTATAAAGTCCTATTGCTTTAACATGCCCATGTTGAAGCATAGTGAAAGTCTGTATCCTTTAGAAAAAGAGAGATAAGGAGTAGATAATGTTCTTAGTGCAGCAATAATGACACTCCCAAAGGGTTTCCACTGTTGCTACAGTTACTACTTCTGGTGATAATTTTAGAAAATACTCACTACTCTTATTAAACAATTCCCTTATCTTAAACAGCTAGAACCAATTTCTTCTGTCTAACCTCCATCTTGACTCTTAGAATTTCTACTTTTACTATACCATGTATGGAACAAAGAAAAATCTTTTACTCTATTCAATTGTACTTAGAATCCAGAAGTCTCAACAAATTGTGGAGAAGAATTCAGGGAACAAAACTCTCAAACAAGATAAGGCAGTGGAAAGGACAAGGAGCCAGAAATATTAGCAAACAGGGAAAATAAGACCTTGAGGTAATTCAGGCAAGAAGAAATAGAATCAATGTGGGGCTTTTCTTGGTTAATGAGGAAGTGGAAGAAATGATATATTCAGGATTCAGGCTTCTATCTTTATAAAGGTTAGAGTAAATGTAATAGTATAATATAAACCAATACCAAAGAAGATGGTAGTCTGATTCCAAAAGGAACATTTGATTAAGAAACAAATGAAAACCTAAAAGGGAAAACTCTGGAAAATAATTTCATAAAAATAGGAGAATTTTTTAGTGTAAGCATTATACCTTTAGAGAGACTTGGGTGATCTTTATGCTATCCCAAAAAAGGACTGGAAAAACTATGCCCCCATGCCTTTTTTCCTCTTCACTGCCAGGAAAGTTGTGTGTGTGTGTGTGTGTGTGTGTGTGTGTGTATGATCTGAAGCCAGGAGCACTTGTCCTATGAAATATACTAGTTCAGGATAATTTTCTAGTATCAGTATGATTCATCCTCCTTGCAGTTACAGCATTTACTGAGCCACCTCCATTTGAAAAGTACTGTCCCATGCCAGGAGAGAGGATTTAGGGGAAGTCACAAGGAATAATGCATAAGAGAGAGGTACCACTTACTCTCTTGTCAAATATGACACAGGCATGTGCACTAGTTTTTAGAGGATGATTAGAAAGAAGATGACTTGAGTAGAACTTTAAAGGGCAGATAGGACATATTTGGGGGAAGAGGATGGTGAATGGAACTTTATAAGTTAAAGCAAAGAAGCTGAAAATTCAAGAATTTCTGAGGATCAGGGAGCAACACAAGACATGGCTCCATCTCAGCTTCCCTTGTTCAGCATCCTTATTTTTCTGGAGCAGTGAAAGTTGTACATCTGGGAACCCCATTTGAGAAGAAATTTGTTAGTGGGAAGTAATTTCATAAACCACTTGACCACTTCCTATGTTTAATAGAAAAACTATATAAATGCATTTTCTTTTACAAATATGGTCCTTAAAGTATTTCACACTCAACTAGAATGTGTGACAATATATTACTAAAGGTAAATTTATACAACACTGAGTCCCATCAATTCACTGTCCAGACAATGAAACTGCTGTCCAAATAGAAAACCTAATTGACTTGCCAGAAGTCAACTAATTGGAAAAATATCCAAATGTCCTTATTCCTAGTCAATTCTCCTGTCACTACACCAAATTCAATTGTTTAACAAGGATATGTTTTTATATGACTTATTTGAAGGAAACATTTCCATGTCCTCTTTATTTCAAGGGGCCCCAAGACCTTCAAAGCTGCTATCTTGACATCTGTGTGTGCTTTTCACTGTTGGTATGATTAAAACTGATAATCACTTGCCACTTCCTCCAGATTTCCACAAATACCCCGTTTTTTTATCTCCCAGCCATGCAGCTTCCTCCTAGTACCATGAGCAAGACACTTCAATTTCTCCTACCTCCTAGTATTGTTGTTCTTCTAGTATATCTGTATAATATACCATGAACAGTTCTTTACAACTCAAGTGTGGCAGATAATGGGGAAAATTTATTCAATCACCCTGTCCCATGTCCACTGTACCACAGTTGGAAAGATTGACTATCTTCAATCTTTTCTCTCAGATTTGAAGCCACTGTTGCATTTTTAAGTGAACAAATTAATCCACTCTCACCAAAATTACCTGGAAAATTACTGCCTTTTATAGTGGGAAGTAAAGCACTTACTCTGTCTAGTCTTTTTGTTGTCTTAACTATAAAAGCTATTTATGTGTAAGCCTTTCTTTGGAACCCTTTAAGCATTAAAGATTTTGTTTCTATGAGTATTTTCCTTTAGGTATTTAAATTAAGTAAAACTTCTGTATATAGGACATAACGACACAGCAAATAGAAATAGAAAGGAAAATAGAATTTCTCTTTTCAATAGGAACTCCTGGGGCAGAAACAAGTCATAGAATAACCTCTCATTTCTCCAACTTTCAGCCCCAAATATTTTTACATGCTTAATAAGCACATAATTGAATGATACTAATTACAGTTTTGAAGCTGATCTCCCTACATGTGTCTATGGTGACTCAGTTGTGAACTGGAACCCCATGGTGAATGGTCACCTGCAAAACATTAATTCACTTGAGAATGAATATTTGTTAGGCAGCTATAGCATGTTGTATTCTGCATTAGGCACTAATTCAAACAAAACCTCTGTCCTCTAAGAGCTTATGTTCTAATTAGAAGATTAAACAGTAAGTGAGATAAATTAATAAAAAATGTAAAATGTAGCTAAGGGTGATAACTAAAAAGAAGTCAAGCAGGGGAGGCACTCAGTGATTAAGGTGAGATCTGGAAGCAAGGTCTGGCTTCCTGAAGAAAGTCTGTTAAGACCTGGACTTTGTAGGTTAAGTGTGGCAAAGACTGAGGGAGAAGAAGAAGGAGATGAAAAGCCAGGCTCAAAAAAATCAAAGATTACATGTTTTTGCTCATATGTGGAAGCAAGACATACAAGTTAAATGTACACATAAATATATGATCTTAATGATGATAGATAGAAGATAGATAGGTAGGTAGGTAAATAGATAGGTAGATGGATGGATAGATAGATAGATAGATAGAATTGTATTAGTAGGTCTGTCTGAGGGGACTATAGGAGGCAGGAGAGGAAAAGAAAATGTTAGAGATTGAAAAATACTGAAACAACCCATCTATACATGAATATAATGTAATGTAATGGACCATAACCTGTGAATAACAGGGGGGGTAATCTGATTAAAGCATGATATATACAGGCCTGAAATGCCAAGGAAAAACCACCTTGAATTATCAATATACTCTTTAAAAATATGAAGGACAGGAGGGTAAAGCAGATCTTTTCTGGGGGGTGGGTACCAGTGGGCAGTAGGAAGGCATAAGGAAAGAGTGAATGAGGATAAATAAGGCAGATGTATTTTGTATTCATTTATGAAAATAGAATAATGAAACCTGTTGAAATTGTTCTAATAAGGGAGGGGAGGAGGAGGGAGTAAATTTAACTAAGATATATTCTAAGCACATATGCAAATACCACAATGTGTCTACCTGTACAACTATTATATGCTAATAAAAAAAGAAAGAAAGCATTTACAGAGAAGAGAGAGGCAAAAGGCTTCAAGAAAAAAAATAAGAAAAAGGAGTGGGAAGAAATTAGCTTGTATGACTGTGAGATATTTTCAGAGATATAAGAGGAATGCAAAATAGATTCATATCACAGAGGATGTTGAAAGCCTTTACCTATTATCTCAATTTGTGAGATTCTAACACTGTGTTAAGCAATATGGAGATTCAGTATCAAAATGAGGCATCCAGAAGTTTATAATAAGAAGCATCACATTTTAGACAAATAATGTCTTCAGCAATAAACTGAGACAAGAAAAAGGGATTGAGTTTTATAGTTTTGAAGCTGATCTCCTTACATGTGTCTGTGGTTGTACATTTAGTGAGTGGCAAAGTGTGGAAATCAGTTATCCCACATTCCCTCCTTCTGTTCTCACCCTTCCTCCCTCCCTCCTTTCCTTCCTTTTTGTCTTCCAGTCATCCTGATTTTCTGTCCCCCCTGCCTTCTTGTCCTCCTGTTTTCTTTTAAGTTTTTTTAACCACCTAAATCCACTAAAAACATCCTTTGCACCAAAGATTCCCTGTGACTTAAGTGAGGTCCATTTCCATGGTGGAATTAAAGGCAGTAGGCAAGTCAGCCTTTGGCATCTTCTTCTCTGGGATGACTGAGACCAAGCTCTTGAATATTTTGAAGGGCATTGCTATGGAAGCACACTCCAATCAAGAATTTTCAGACTTTCTTCCTAAGTTCTTTCTGATGGCAGTTTCACCTGCTATCACCCAAGGACAGCAAGTCATCTCTGCTATCCCTCTTTGTGGTTTCCCTAATACAAACTTACTTCAATGACTTAATTTCTCCTAAAAGGTATAAAGGGCCAGTTTTCCAAAGCACACACAAAATCTCATAGTGCTAACTGCCATCTTCCCTAAGGCAAAAGTCTTGGACTTGACCTGAAGTGAATGAATCTAGATCAAACAACAGTAACTATGCATTATTTTTCTCTGGATATGTTTTATCTGTAATAAGGAAAGGCATCTAAACAACTTTATTTCTGTAGTGGTACATTTTATGTTCAGAATGTTCTTTTCAAAAATTGCTATTTTAGAACCTAATGGTTTAATACCTCACTAATGATTTTGTTTTTTAGTTTTGAAAGAACAGACATCTCTGGAAACTGGCAGTCTTCTTATTTTTTTCCCTTTTATTTTCCCTTACTCCAATTCTTAAAAGTATAGCTCTGAAAAATGAAGTTGTTATGGCAGCTTAAAGGAATGAAGGGTAAGACGGTGAGAACCCTGGTGCCAAGTCTACTTTTCATTGTATATATGTGGGTGTGGCCCAAGGGAAGGAGGCAGCAGGACAGAGAACACATTAGCCTCCAGCATTTCTAAGGTCTATCTGGACTATTGACTAATTCTTTCCCTTACTTCCTCTTTGGATCTATGCCTAGAGCCATTGTTATGTATTTTTTGGAAGAAAACACAGGTGTTGGTTAGGTGGTGTTAAGTGAAATATAAATATATGATTAGTAATTATGTTGGTAAACTTGGTAACTGGGTTATATAGAAGCATAAGTTGACAAATTACAAAGTGATCACTCAAAGAGGAAAGTGCTGTCTGCTAATTGTTTTAGACAGTGTCTCCTTGTTTCTATCACATGATTTTTTTTTTCCTGAGAAAAGTCATATCTAGACTCCTAACATATCAAACAGGAAACAAATCAAGAAAAAAAAAAAACCAGAATGACTCTAAGTGGGGTGACATCCTGGTTATGGTACCTCAGAAAATCTGCTTGACCTTTGAAATTCTGCTTTTTTTTCTTTATCTTGATGAAGATAATATGAAGTGAATTTTATAAATTCAAACTAAAAACATTTTAGTTTGAATGGAAAATCTGAGAGACAAAATCCTTAAAGATTTTTTAAAAAGCCATTTTCTAATATAGCATTTCAGCTATCATGAGAGAAATTTTAAGTCAGAAAAGCTCAATGTCCCTTAAATCCTGTGATGTTTGAAGCTTTCAGACTTACTGATTTGAAAGACTCCCTGATATTTAGATTTTCAAAGTATTCCTTTTTGGGGAGAGGGTGAGGGAGCAAAAAAGCTAAGCATCTCCCGCCTCCTGATTAGGCAGAGAGAGGCATGGGAAATTTGGGGGCAACCTTGAGGGGGTGGTTTCTGAACAAAGGATGAAGAAGTATCACTATGCTTCATATCTCAAGACAGCATCAAGGTGGTGTGAGGCACCGAAGTGTGAGCCAAAGCCATGGAGGCCTCTGTGCTTAGCCCCACATCCTGGGAGAAACGGCGGGCCTGGATCCGACAGAGCCGTAACTGGCAGACCCAGGTACTGGAAGAGGAGGCTGCAGCTGCCCTGCTGGACGTCCCTGATCCTGAGCCTTCCAGCCTGGATGATGTATTCCAGGAAGGTAAGATACTATTAGACATCACACAGATTTCCACAGTGTCTAGTGGTACAGAGAATTATCACAGGTACAGGTCTTTAGATGATGACTTGCAGGTGCTTTTTTTAGACTATCACTGCAGGGAGGCTCATTTTGACTATTAAATGAGTTTAAGAGAAGGGACATAAAAGAATACAAAATATGAATTAACTGTGAAATAAGAAAGTATAAGATTAGGAAAAAGAAAGTGACACATTTTGTGTCATTCTGAGAAGCTTCTGTAAGAATCCATGCCAGGAGTTGTCTGTGAATGAATATTTTGAGAGAACTAGAATCTAGTCACAACTCTGTCACTAATAAGCTGTGTGACCTTTGGGAAGTCACTCATCTAAGACTTACTTCTCCAATTAAAGTGGTAGCTCCTTGCCTCTCAGAGCTTCTTTGAAGTTCAAATGAGACCACAGACATGACAGTAAAATAAAAATTCTGATAAAAATTAAGTCATCCTTGCTTATTTGTTAGGAAATAAAAAACAGAGTTGAGAGCCCTTCCCTCGCCTCCCCTCCCCTCCCCTCCCCTCCCCTCCCTTCCCCTTCCCTTCCCTTCCTTTCCCTTCCCTTCTTCACCTCCCCCTTCTTCTTCTTACTCTTCTTCTTCTCTTCCCCTCCTCCTCCCCCTTCTCCTCTTCCTCTTCCTTTCCTCCTCCACTTTCTTCCTCTTCCTTTCCTCCTCCTGCTCCTCATCCTCTCCTTCTTCTGGAGAAGGAGCTATCCCTGTTGCTAAAACTTGGGGAAAAGAAAGCAGTGATGGCTTGGGCATTTTCTGTGTTCCCAGGTGGAAGGGAGAAGGGAGGCAGAGAAAGAAGACAATCCACTATTTTTATATATGAGTATATTCTTCTCTTATCTCAAAGAAAAAGCTATATGGAAAAAAAAAGAGTCGTGATACAGCTTAAACCAAGACAACCTGTAGAATGGGCTGAGTTGCACAGAAGAGGTCTGGTTTCCGTCAATTCTAACAATAAGCTGGTGTCTGACTTTTCTAGGGAATCCAATCAGTAAGATTGAAGACTGGCTGCAGGACTGTGGGTAAGTGCTCGACAAGCAGTGGGACTGGATGTGGGTGATGGCTGAGTGTGCTAGCAAGAATGACCCTTAGGAGCTCAAAGACAAAAAAATGGGTTTGAACTGAGCCTGAGGAAGTGAGATTGAGACAGTGGTTGGCAGGGATGTTGAGGGGGTCGATTGGTGTCCAGGCTGTGAGTCAAATGCAACACTGGATGGAGGCTAAATTAAGCTGAAGGCCTGGGAATGCAAGTTGGTTCTGGGTTAAAGCTAACAGCAGATAGAAATCTGCATCCATGGGAAATGGCTGAGCTGAGTTCCAGATACCCTCTCTACTGCTTTCCCTTCAGACTGGAGTCTTACATTGTGTGACAAAAAAGAAAGAATTAGAAAGTGGGTCATTCTTCCTGAGGAGTAGTGCACAACTGTATTGTTTATACTTGTCAAAAGAGGAGAAGGGGCCCAGGGTTGGCACAGGAAGGAGGACACTCAAAGTAGTGAACATTCATGCACTTCAATGGAATATATATTATATCTTTGCTCAGAAACATTTAAAAATAGAAAATTGCCCCCCTCTAAGCCATTTTAGACTCAGTCTCATCAGACACAAAGGAAAGCTTCTGTGACCTAATTAAGCCTGATTGTTCCTATGAGAATGAGTTTTCAGAATGTATAACTCCTTCCTGCTCCTTATTTTCCCTCTAGGAATGTCTCGAGCTTTATATAGTCTTTAATCTAAACTCATCTATTAGCTGACATAAATAAACCCATCCTTGCTACTCTAGTAAGAAATAAATAGTACTGAATAAGCTAAGGTTGTTTATTTTAACTCTGCTGTGGAAGGCAATGCCAATATGAATTCATTTTGTATTTGTTTTTGTTGTTTACAAAATGTATTGTCCTTTTTGTCCTAATCTTATTCATAATTCATTGACTTGAAAGTCAATTTAGGGGGTGGGGAGGATCCTCAAAAAACTGGAAGAAAAAGCATGATTATAGTATAATGTTTGCAGGTTTTGGGAAACCTCTGAATTGAGAACTGTCCTGGATTTTAATGGGTATACCAGACATGCTTATGAGAGACAGTCAATGTCTTTATTTTATTAGCTACTCTTATCAAGTCAATGGTTATTAACTGTGCACTTGCTAAATGTCTGATTTGTCTTAATGGCCTTAATGGTGCTGTGTATTTTAAAATATGCTCCTTGATTTCAAATATACTTCATTCTAGCTGAAATGAATGAATTCTCAAAAATAAAAGATTGTGACTTCTAGAAATCACCTTTCCCCATCCCTGGACCAAAATTTATGATGAAAATGTGGTCTAGGGAGTGAAAGTTTCCAAGCTTTGAGACTAATTCTTGTATAACCAACTGTAATAAAGTAATTGAAATTCTATCCATTTCAGACTCTTAACCAGTAAAGTAAGAAAGTAACATCACAAAGTGCCAAAGTTCTTGTGAGGCTTAAATCAGATGATGCATGTGTTAGTGCTCTATGCTCTGCAAAGCTGTTTAAAAAGGGAAGCTTCAAGCCAGTCATGGTGGTATGAGTTTGCTGTCCCAGATACTCAGGAGGCTAAAGCAAAAGGATTCCTTGAGTCTAGGAATTTAAGGCCAGCTATTCACTGGGAAACAGTAGCAAGACTCTTAAAGAAAAAAAAAGCTCATGCCTACAATCCTAGATACTCAGGAGGTAGAGGTCAGGAGGATCACAGTTTGAGGACAGAGCCCACCTGGTCAAATAAGCTGAGTGTGGTGGTGTGCACCTGTATTCCCAGCTATGTGGGAGATATAGTTAGGAGAATTGGAGAATTGTGGTCCAGGCAGGCTCTGGGCAGAAAGATATGAGACCTTATCTAAAAAACAGCAGAAAAACAGAAACAGCTGGAGGCATGGTTCAAGGACAAGGCCCTGAGTTCAAACCCCAGTACACTCCCCAAAAGTAATAAATAAATAAAAGGAGGAGGTTTGTATATACTTATAATATTATAAAATAAATCCATATACCTACAAATCAATTTATCTATCTATCTACACCTCTTTATTTATCAGAAAAAGAATACCTAGAAATTATATATACCAAATTTTGAGTAATAAATAAAAACCACTAGAAAGAAAAAGAACAGAAAGAATGGAAGTTCAATAAAACTTCAGTTATATTTGTAATATTTTATTGTAGTATTTTACATTCTATTATATATTATTTAATATTTTATTTCTTTCTGAAGATACATCAAAATGTTTATATGCATAATAATGAATGGAAGATACAAGGATATCTGTCATACTTCTTTACTTTCCTGTGTTTTGAAAAAGTTTCAGTATTTAAACGTTAAAAAGTCCATAAGGAAGTCTATTAACATGCTTACGTTTATCTCTGGAAGAAGGTGAATTGCTAAACTTAGAAAATGTTTCCCATTTTGTCTATTTTTTAATTCTCTGTAATAAATACGTAATACAGCCATGCACTGCATGTGAACATATCAGTCAATGACAACCTGCATATACAACAGCAATCCCCTAAGATTATATTGCCAGTGACATCGTAGCTGTCTTACAATGTGTCTTACACTTGATAATGTCTGCACACTGATGAAATAATGATGTATTTCTCAGAATGTATCCAGTCATTAGGCACATAAACTCACGTATTTCTCAGAATATATGCCTATAATTTTCACTCTAAAATTGAATGATGATGATTATGGTTAGTAATAGTGAAAGCTCACTGGACCTTTGATAAAAAATAATGAAGAAGATAGAGGAAAGACACATTTACTGCATTTACATTTACTGCATTACTATGGCCTTTGATTCTCAGGCTGCTGGGACCACAGAGGAAAGAGGATGGATGAGTAACCCATAGTCACTGGTTATTTGTCCACAAGTTGGCCAGTTTCCTGGGAGGTATTTTCAAATTTGGTTTCAAGACCATATAGTTTCAATTTTCTGTCCAAAGCCAGACACCTGCTTTAACAAGAGGGTTTTCTTTTCTGACAAGTTCTCAAAGAAACTTCACCATTTTCCCTGGTAATTTAGTATTAATGTCTCTCAGTGCAATTGAATCTAGTGGCAGTCCACTCTGCTACTGGATTAGGACATGTGTACCTTTACAAGCTGTGGTTCTCCTTTTTTCTTTCTCTTCTTTACCTCTCAAGGGGTTTTCTGGTCCATGAATGTGTTCACTGTGAGTCACCAGAGGTTAAAGTCTGAAGTGCAAAAATCATCTCTGTGGGCTTCACCTTAAATCTCTGTAGGCAAACATCTGTGGAAAGTGCTAGAAATCACCACTAACTTCTTCTCACAATCCAGGTCCCCATTGTTTGTGAATTGGATATAACAAAAGAGCAGCACCTTCACTCTTCTGTTTCAGATTTGAAGTTGTGGTAAGGGACCTTTCAATACATAGGTAGAAAGAAGGGAGTACTTATGGATCTAGTTCCTAATCACTGATTTTATAGCTTATGCAATAACCCTTGAAATGCCTTGTACTTGGATGATGACCAAGAAGTTTCAAATCATCATGCTTCATAAGAAGGCATCAATAAAGCCAGTCCTTGTCCTTGCTGCTGGGGTAGATTCCACATATACATAGAAAAGCCTACTGCTTCAAGGCTTATCCTAGGCTGGTCCTCAAAAAGTGATTATAAATTGCTAGCGAGGGTGCAACCAGAGTACTATAGGATGAATAAACAAAAAAGACTTGTATCTAATGAATAGTAATGAAAGTTGCTTTGAGCAAATCAGGAATTTTATGTCATATTTTAATGTAAATTTTGTTGAAATATAGTATATGTATCAATAGCATTTTAATTTTAATATAAATTATATTGAAGCATAATATTCTTACTGAAAAAAATGAGTATTAAATATACAGCTTAATGAATTTTCATAAAGGGAATACAATCAAGAATTCTAAAGTAAAACATTACCAATACTTTAAAAACCTCCCTTCTGCCTCCTTCCAGTCACTACTCTGCCTCCAAAGGTAACTAATACCTTGACATAACACTACCAATAAATTTTGGATTTTTTTGAACTTTATGTAAATAGAATCACACAATATGTACTGTTTTATCTCTGTGTATTTATTTTCATTTTATTTTTCACTTAGCATTATATTGGTGACATTCATCCAGATATTTGCATGTGACTAAAGGATATTCTTTTTTATTGTTGTGTAGTATTAAACTATATACTTATTATGAAATGTTTCCATTTTATAAAATCTGAATGGAAACATTTCATAATAGTAGAGTTCTGGGTCTTTCTTTCTGAGTTATTATAGCTATTTCTTATGGTAAATACATCAAGTACAACCTACAAATAGAATGATAGTCTGTTTTCATGTAGTTCTCATATTAGTAGGCTTTAAAAGTTGCATCCCTAATCATAAAATCTCAAATGCTCCAAAATCTGAAAATTTTTGATTGCCATCATGACACCATGAGTGGAAAATTCCACACCTGACTCATGAGATGGGTCATAGTCAAAATGCAGGCACTTTATATAAAATATTGTATAAAGTTAATTTCAGGCTATGTGTATAAATTATATATGAAGCCCAAATGAAGTTCAGGGCTGGAAGTATGGCTTAACTAGTAGAGTGCTTGCTTACCAAGCGCAAAGCCCTGAGTTCAAACTCTGGTCTTGCCAAAATAAAAAAGGCTTTAAACCAATAGGGTGTAATGAGACACACCTATAATCCCAGCATGTGGGAGGCTGAGGTAGTAGGATTGCAAGTTCAAGGTCAACCTGGGCTACATAACAAGACCCTGCCGCAAAAAAACAAATCCAACTGAATAAATTAATTTCATGTTTAGAGTTAGGGCTCTTCCCTATTTTATTATGTATATACAAATATTAGAAAATCATAAAAATCTGAAATAACCCTTCTGATCTCAAGCATTTCAGATAAAGGATACACAATCTGTACCGTGTAGCTATAAAACAAATTTACATGCAACAGTAAAATCAACATTCTAGTTGTAGATAACTGTATTAGTTATCATAATGCTTTGGTAGTCTCAGTCTATATTAATTTCTATTAATATTTTAATATTATATATAAGCACATTTGTCTGTCTTATTATATAACAACATATTACTGGGTAATTATATGTAAGGAAGGAAGTATACATTTGTACTTCTAGTTGTATTATTAGAGTTAGCCATTCTTAATAATCTCGAGTATAATTTCACATTTTATAATGTACTGCGACATATAGTTTCTACATAAAGACATAAAAATTCGGATTTTGGAATTCATGGTTGATTTTTTTTCCCCTATTGAAAGGAAGGTACTAGGTACTCTTTGCTGCCTAAGAGTTATCAGCACTGCTGGACACAGACAAAGGGGAAGGCTAGTTAAGGACCAGGTCCAATGGATGCACTTCAGGCTATTTCCCTGGTAACTCATTTTTACCCACCTGTCTTCATTCCAGCATCCACTTGAGATTACATTCAAAGTCTCATATACAACTTTCATGTAGAAAACTCACAACATGTCATCTCCTGATGGAGTGATAGAATGATGAAATCTAGAAATCCAAGTCCTCTTACATAGTATTTGAGAATATAACAGCAACAAGCCAGGACCGGAATGCACGCACACTGGTCCCAGTCCAAAGCTTTTTCACAGATTCTTTCACTTATTTTGGTCAGAGAGAACTTCTTGTTTGTAAAACAGAGTTGTTTCTCACTACCATTTATGCTGATTTCTGTTTGTTCTTCTGGTAGAGATGTTTGATAAGAATGTATCTCAAAATCTAAAAATATCTCTAACCAGGATGCAATTTCTGTTGTTTCCTGAAAGACATGATATTCGGTAAGAACATAGTTCCATGAAAAATAAGAGGATACAGGTGAACAAGGTAACCTAAAATTTTTAAGAAAAAAAGATTGCTATTTGTATTAGTGATTTGGAAAGTATGGCACCAAAAATCTCTCTTCTACAAATATTTCTCTCCAAATTTGCTTCTTTATTTTTCCTTTCCTATTTTATCTAAAGACTGAAGACAATTATTGTAAAGCTGACTTTAGACATTGTAGTCAAGACAACAACACCACAATCAAAAGTACAGCACATTCTAGTCCCAGCATCTCATGACTACATTTATGAGTGTGTCAGTCAAGTAACCACTCTGTCTTAGTTTTCTCCAATATAAAAGCAATTAAGTACTGCTGAGTCCCATTGGAAAATGATATGAACATGTGGGAAATATTTAAGGAAAAAAAAACCATTGGAAAACATAGTAATTGTTTTTGGGTTTTAGAGACTCTGAGGAGGGACTTTCTGAGGAAACAGGACAGTCCATCTATAGTGGTGAGTATAGACTCTTCTGTTGTTCTTCTACCTTCATAGTGATACAGCTGCATGAATGTGTGTGTGAATGTTGATCCACATACACATGCATAAGAATGCTTGACTGTCTTAAGGGTCTGCAAAACACCTTTAAGTTGTCATAGGGAAGTTAAGAAAGTCCCAAAGAAAGTGCTGGCTCAGAGCCACAAGTTGATTATCTCCTGCTATCAGAGCAACCACTGCATGGTAAAAGAACCTTATAAAACGTGTGCATTTATGTACATATGAATGTATACCCTCATGTTTACTATGTGGCAGATGATTGTGTGATTGGCAAGTGAGTGTGTGCATGATCCTGAATAAAAACATGAATGTGGTTACTAAGATATTGTACATAAAACTGGATAGAAGTTTTGCAAACATGTGAATGAATATCTAGTATGATTGTGTGGTTGTATAAGTCTAAGAACATGTAGATGTTCAAGTATGCAGTTGTGTGCGCATGTGTGTATGTGTTCTGGGCTGGTTTTCTGTGATCTTTGTTTGATTATTTGACAGAGTACTCCAGCCATGGGACCAGCTTTGAAGATGACTTGACCCTTGGAGCAGAGGGTGAGTTGAGTAATTTTCTGAAGCTGAGATCAGGGAACAATCTACACATTGTCTAAATTAAGGATAGGATGGAAGGGGAAAACTTCAGAAAGAGGTAGGCTTTCCCTGGGGTCCTATCTGGAGGGAAAGAATAGTCTATGATGTAATGTAAAAACAGAAAGTAACACATGCTCAGAAACACTTCCTCACCAGTCTGTCAGGACTCCTACTGGACTATGACTAAAGCTTTCCCTTAGTCCCTGGAAAGATAACATATAAATCACCTTAACATTTGCTGCTCAGATATCATTGAGACTGTTTTCTCTGTATGGAGCCCAAAGAAGTCTGAGAACTGAGTTTTACAGGTAGACTGCACTGCGGGAGGATAAGGGCTTAAATAAAAGGTGGAAGCACAGTTACCTACCAATATCTCATACAACCTCTACAGACCCAAATGATAGGACAGGAGCCTGAGCTAGGAGAGTTGAATAGCTTTCCTCCTCAGGATAGAGGGCTCTCTTGCCTAGACGTTAGTTATGGTTTAAAAATTCAGAGACTTTAGGCCACACAATCTCTGCTTTATCTGCCCCCTTCCTAGGCTGTGCTAGGTAATCTTGAGACCCCCACTAAGAACAGAGTTCATGAGTTTCAGATAGCCTGTGGCAGTGATACAGGAAAACAGGAGGGCTGTTTTAGTTCAGGGAAGCAACTCAGGTGGTTTTGTTTTCCTTTCTAACTAATTTTTTGCCTTTCTGTTCTTATCTAGCCACACTGTTGGCCACCAATGGTAAACTCTTCTCCAGGTAAGTGGTAGGTTCAGCCAGACTGAATGATGTCTCCTTCAGCAATCAGTGAACTGGGGGAATACCAGAGTTGGGCAAATAAAAAAACAAAGAGTTAAAGATACAGAAGACTTTCTAATCAGCAATGAGGGCATATACTGAGCTTCCTCAACAAATGGTTAAAAGGTAACTAGCAGAGGGTGATTGAAGTGCAGGCTGGTGACTAGATTTGTATGATATCACCTTTGATCTCTGCAGGAGTTTCCTACAGACAGCCAGGCCTTGTCAGCTACTTGATCTTGGCTGTAGTTTGGCTTCCAGCAGCCTGACTGGTGGGACCAACAAGACTAGCTCAAGGTAGGTACTAAATCTGATAGAGCTGGTAGGGTGGGGAAGATGAGAAACAGAGGAGAATAGAATGCTTTTTTTCTGGGATATCTTCCTAGAGCCTTTACATACTACACATACTTAAGAAATATGAGCATATTTGCATCAAGAATACTGGGGGCTACAGAGGAATCTTCTCAGAGCAGAATGCTAAGTATAAAATATAAATACTTCCTTCCACTGAACCTTACATTCCAGGAGTAGTAATGATACCATCTCAGTGCCTGGACTCATAGTAGATGCTCAGTTCACAAGTGTGCTGATTAATCAGCCAATTTGTTGATTGCATGAAGCAATAACATATAAATTTAATGCAGGGCAGACAATAACTGTATGAAACTTGTAAAGCCAAAGTACACAAAGTAGTTGCCCCCAAGGTCTTACCCACTCCATAGATTGGACTAGATGTGCAGACAGATAAATGTAAAGCAAGATGGAAAGTGATGAGAACTGGTGTGGTGCAAAGAAAAATGTAAAGAATTTGAAGTCAAAATTTGAATTTAAGACCTGGTTCTGAGACTTAACTTTTGTCATATGACTGTTTAGTGATTCATCCTTACAGAGCTTTAGCCCTAGACACACTCCAGTTTAATGAAATGAGAATGTCTCAAGATAGGATTCAAGTATCTGAATTTTTTTAAAACCTCACAACATGATCCTAATATACAGCGATGGTTATGAAACACTGATCTAGTCAGTCTTATGTTGGTAATTCACAGATCAGGAAACTTAGAACCATGGAGGTAAAATTAGCAGTTAGCTGGTAAGCCCAAAAGTAGATTCAGATTCCAACTATCTAGCCATTAATCAAACAAGGTCCTAGCAACCTTTTGAAAGAGAATGCCAGTGACTATATAAGGCCTCAAAAAATCTGGTCCCATTGTTGAAATGTACTAATTGAGTACTTGTGTCACCCAGCATGGTGGCACTCAGTTTTGGATATAGGTATAGGTTGGTGCCTTAAGGAGAGAGACAGATAGGGTGACCCCTTGCTCTATGACACCAGGCTTCTCTCCTAAAAATAGTGCTAGAAATAGGTACACACGTATTTTAGAGGTGCTAAACACCTCTTAAAATAATACTTGAATGTACCTATTGACTAGTTTTTTACCTTCAAAATAAAATTAGATATATGTTTCTTTCATACTCATTGACAAATTGTCTCACACAACATAGGGCAAATTGAGTGTCAAGTGTCAAGTCCCTTGGCTAAAACCAGATCTATCACTATGTATGAGGTGGGAACTAACTAGTTAATGTAACCACAAAAATTCTTTGCATTTATACTGGTTTTCATTTTTCTCAAAATGTTTTCATATTTACTGAAATTTATTTTCGTCTGTAATAAATTGTACAAAGCACTGTGCTAAATTATTTTGTTCAGATTTTATAAGCAGATCTGGAATGTACTCCCCATGCTTCAGACAGAAGATTGAGGTTCATAGTAGCGAAAGCTTTTCTCAAAGTCACAGTGGAAGATAAAGAAATGGCCAGAAAGAAATTTCAGTCTCCTGATACTGTTATTAATATTTTGGATTAATGCATGTCTCAAAGTTGTCCCTCTTTTCAGTATCTCAGAAATCCTGGAACAGGTGCAAGAAGATGCAGAAGATGTTCTCTTCAGTCTAGGCTTTGGCCAAGAGGACCACAAAGATACATCTCGAATTCCTGCAAGATTTTTCACCAATCCTTCTCAGGCCAAGGGCATTGATTTCCAGCTCTTCCTAAAGGCCCAGGTGCAGAGGATTGAGATGGAGGACCCCTGTCTCATGTTGGCCAGTGAGTATTTGCATGCCCCACTTCTCTGCCAACCTTCAGTCATTCACAGCAGGGTTCAGTGGCTCTAAACCCTATTTTCTTTTGTTTAGTTTCACATTACCCTTTGTCTGAACTTAAGTTGTTCAGAAAAGTGGAAAACTTTGACATCTGCTTCTTTCTCTTGAAGAAATGGTCTTCAAGAGACCTCTGATCATTGTTGCTTCTCTTAGGTCTTCTTTCCTTCAGATGATCAAGTCAGCACAATGTCTTTAAATCTTAACCCATTCCTTATTTCCTACATGGAATATTTATTGGGGGATGGGACATCAAGAAATCAAGAAAGGGGACATCAGGTATCCAAAATCTAAACAGGAGAAACAACACTGGGGAGACTGGCAGCTTCTCTCTGAAGTTTTGGACAGGCTTTTGAAAGGTGAGATTTAAGAGGTAATTTTCTGATGAGTTCCCAAATCAACATGTTCAATGTTTGTACCCAGGCAGGTTTAAGCAAGTGCAAACACTGGCCGTCACTGCAGATGCCTTCTTCTGTCTCTACTCCTATGTCTCTAAGACACCTGTCCAAAAGTTCACACCATCCCACATGTTCTGGAATTGCAACCCAACTGATGTGCCATCCATCAGGATTTTGGTCCCAGAGACAGAACCCCAATCACCCAGAGATCGCCTCCGGAAAGCTATCTCCAAAATGTGCCTATATACAGGATCCCGAGATCAGATGTCATCATCCCACAACATCCCCAAAAGGAACAGTTTGGACCAAGTGGTGTGGGAAGTGATGGACAGAGTGAGAGGAGAGAAACTAGTTCTCCAGCAAGGCTCTGGATTTGGGCAAAGCCCCCAGGAAGATCCTGTGACTCCCATAGGAGATACAAAGCTGTCCACTTCTTCCTTTCCATTTGTCCAACACCCTAAGGAGGAAGCACAGCAAGAGATTCAAACTTTGAATTCTAACCCTAAGGTGCCTCTCAGTATACATTCTCTAAACAGAGTAGATCCACAGGGGAGCCCAAACTCCGCACAAGAGCTGTGGGATCTACAGGAAGCCAATTCAGCCAAGAATGAGACTGTCTGGAAAACAAACAGAGCAAGAAAGAGTCTATTTCAAAAGAGTTCCTTGGAAAAGACAGTGAAGTCATTGGACCTGTCCAACATCCAGCAGAAATGGAAGCAGATCCGAGACAGACCAGAAATGCACCAATCTCTAACCCAACAGCCTCAGGAAATCTTTTATTCAAAGGAGGTGAGTGGGTTGGAGATGAGGGAGAGGCTGGTAGAGAAAAGCTCTGGCTTGTTGCACAAAAGGTGAAGGAGAATGGTCCTTGAGTAAAAGAGTTCCTGATGTCCTGTCCTCGCCAGATGTACCACTTCTTGAATTAAATTCAGAAGCTTATGGAAGTGTGTTAATAGAGGGGAAAAAGAGAAACAGCCCTGGTTTTTTTAAGAGGGTTCAGCATTCAAAGCTGCTTTTGTAATTCTTATCTGATCTCTATTGAATGCTCCCATGAAATACACCTGCCCTGATCATTTGTGGGGGTTTTCATAAAAGTACAAGTGGAGGTTAGCTGTACAAAATTTTATACACTGCTCAATATCATGTGCTTTTCTTCTACCTTAATAAATATGTAAGCCTTAGAACCTAGAAATATAGATTCCAAATCTTAGAAGTGTTATACTATCAGAATTTCTGTGCTAGAGGATGTTTGCGTGAGCAGAGCTTCTCCCTAGCCTCTGGCCTATCCCTTTCTCTTTCTATGTCCAGGCATATTCTGCATCATAAGGGACCTTGAATACCTAAGTGTGAGTACCCTAGCCTGCACATCCAAATGCCGCAATCCCTTACCCACACAAACAGCCATGCTTTGGTCATTGCTCGGGCCTAGGGATGTACAACCTAGTGGAGAGGTCTTCCCTTGAGAGAACAGACACAGTCGAAACCAGTTCAGATATCTGAACCCAGCTCTGGACCAACTGGCAACATATTTAGTGATTCTGGGTAATCAGACCATGTTCTAGAAGGGATAGTGCAGAATCCAGGTGGGCACATAATCTAAGTCCACTAACTCTTCATCCGTGGGCCCTCTATAACTTAGCACTCCTTTTACTCGGGTCTACAGATGGTGCTGCCATCAAGTGTTGGAGTCCCTTGGAAGAGCTCTCAAATCCTTGCTGCAAAGAGAAGCTGTGATTATTTGCAATATTATTTACATATGTGGTACCTCTCATTGAATGTAGAACTGCACCTCAGCTACTAGCTTCCTCACTACTGGGTCCCTGCCACCTCTCAAATACCACAGCCTCCTTCCCCTACAGCACCCTGCCACAGTGCACCTTCCCTGCCTGCCATCCCCTCACTGGCTTTGACTCAGTTCCGTTGATATCTTGGTTACAGACACAAAGCAGCAGTGAGGAGGAGAGCTGCTGGCCCAGCAGATCCACATACCCCCACTCCTCTCAGACATTTCCTGACAAAGACTCAAGAAGTAAGTGGGCTAATGTCTCAAGCAGTGGTTCTTAAATTTGTCTGCACATTGTAATCTTCTGGGGAGATTTTTTTAAACATACTCTTATTTTTTGGTGGGATTTGGAACTTAGGGCTTTGTGTTTGCAAAGGAGATGCTCTACCACTTGAGCCATGCCTCCAGTTCATTTTTCTCTGGTTATTTTGGAGATGGGGTCCCAGGAACTATTTGCCCAGGCTGGCCTCAAACTGCAGTCCTCCTGATCTCAGCTCCCAGGAAGCTAGGATTATAGGCATGAGCCACCAGCACCCAGCTTAAAAAAAAAACTTGTAATGAAAACTCCCATATCCTACAATTCTCATTTCATTGGAAGAGCATGGACATCATAGCTCTTTATTTTCTTAAGTTCCCCAGATGAGTCTAAAAAATACTTCTCTACATCAGTGCTTGAACTTTGTCATAGATCAGGATCTCCTAAAGGGCTCCTAAATAGCCGGACCTTAACTCAGAGTGTCTGATTGTTAAGTCTGGACCAGCCTGAGAATCTGCATGTTTTTGGTGGCACTGGGATTTGAACTTGGGGCCTTATGCTTGCTAAGCAGATGTTCTACCACTTGAGCCAAAACCCAGTCCTTTTTTTCTTTAGTTATTTTTTAAATAGAGTCTTGTGTTTTTCCCAAGGGTCAGCCTTGAGCCACAATCCACCTACTTATCCCTCCCCAGTAGCTGGGATTGCAGACACTCACCACAACACCTGGCTGATTGGTTGAGATGGGGGTCTCTCTAGCTTTTTTTCCTTGGCTGGCCTCAAACAGCAATCCTGTAATGTCTACCTCTCAAATAGCTGGAGAGTATACATTTTTAACAAGTTCCCAGATGATATTGATGCTGCTAACCTAATGATCATCCTTCAAGAAACTGCTGTCACAGAAGATTATATAGAATGTTAACATTTAAAGATCAGTTTCCATCCCAGACTTAATGAGTCACAATTTTATCAAGATCTTTAGGTTAAATAATGTATTTATACCCTGAAGTTTGAGAAACACTGCTGTTGCAGTTTTGTAATGGCAGTCTATATCCCAGTACCTGTTTTGGGTATGTTGTAATCAGCCCACATCATAACAACCATCCTCTTTGTATCTTGCAACCATGCTCATTTAGGTTCTGAGTTCCTTTATGCAACTAGGATCTGATGAACATAGCTTTTCCTCCCCTTCTCAAAGCAGGACAATGAAATTAAAATGCATTGTTATTGTTGCTGTAGATATGAGTGTCTTTAGTATCAACTCTTTCAGAGGTATCCTTTTCGACTTTGAAAAGTTTGCCCAGAAATTTACTATTTAAACTAAGTGGAAAGTAGTCTCTTTTACTTTTATCTACCTTTCTACTAGGACCACAGGAAAATAGCAGCAGGGATGCAGAGATTTTTTTTTCTCCAGGAAAGTAGAAATTGAAATCTTTCTGATTCATCAATGAATCTTGCATAGAGGTCCCTTCATTTTAGACATCTTGGTACTATCTTCTGCACTTCCTAGAGCAACAGTGTTTTGATTAGTGTTCTAAAATTTCAGTGTGGCTACCCCAAACGCACAGATCTTTGATTCTAACCCTTTTAATTGTAGTTCTCTGTAGTTTTGGGATGATAACCACTCTTCTTTCTCTTTTACCAATATCACACCTCTGAGTATATAGATGGTATGCATACACTTAGTCACTCACAAAAGTGGTAAATATCAGAAAGCAACAATATGCTATTTGTAGTTTTAAAAGTTTAGTATGTTGAGCTCTGTGTGAGGGTGTACACCTGTACTCCCAGCTATGCAGGAGGCTGAGGCAGGCAGATGGTGAGCTTGAGGCCAGCCTGGGCTACATAGCAGAATGCCATCAAAAACACATGTTTAAGATGGCTCCATTTTCTTCTCAGATCCATCAGATAAGTGGGGTCACAAGACAATCCATTGTCCTCCCACCTCCTAAATTGAAGAAACTGACAGGAAAATGCAGAGATTCACAATTTGCCTGAGTAGAAACTTCCCCAAGAATCAGTGCCAAAGTAGAAAAACCTTGACTGTTAACTGATGAATTGCTGGAGGCTCGGTCGGAGTGGACCAACCTGGGAGATAAAAACTCCAGGAGATCCAGTCATAGGGGGTTTCCCACACTTTTGTGAATTTTACCTCCAGGAGTTCAACCAGGTTCTCACAGTAAATATCAGAGAAAAATCCCTTCATCCTTCCAGCAAGGGAAGAAGAGTAAAATATGCCAGAGCACTCAATACTTCCCATCTTAACAAAATTAAGGGAAACCAATTACCCAGACTTTAACTAATTGGGGTTTTATTAGAGCCTAACTGACCTGGGGAAAGGGAAACACCCAGCTTCAGCCTCCTATCCATCCTGCATCATCAAAGTAGGAGGTGGGATTGATAGACATGTGAAACTCACAGTCCAGGACACAGGCTCTATAAAAGACTAAGATTTAATCATAGGACTACAGACCACCTTGTCTCCCCACTCATACCCCATCACTACATTGCTAAAGACCTATTTATAGCAATACCTTTTACCCACTATCACACATCTGGCTATCAAGAAAAACTTAAAAGATAGAAAAAACAAACATCAGAAAATCAGAATGCAATGTTATAGAGATGATTACTAGACTAGGAGTCTTAAAATAAGTATGATTCATGGATAAACTACACAGAAATATGGTAGAAAATGGAAATTTTAAAACAAGAATTAAAAATAAATGTTAAAGATCAAAAACCCTGTAACAGAAATGAAGAATGCTTTGATGGGCTTCTTAATGGACTGGACATAGCTGAGAAAAGAATTTGAGCTTAAAGGTATAGCAATAAAAACTGAAAACAAAGAAAATAAAGACTAGAAAAAGTCAGAGTAGAATATCCAAGAAATGTGGGGCAGTTACCAAGGTCTAACATATGGCATAATAGAAATTCTAGAAGATGAGATAAAGAAACAGAAAAAAATATTTGAAACAATAACGAATGACAATTTCTCTCAAATGAATGCCACACACTGAAGCACAGATCCAGGAAGCTTAGTGAACACAGATTAGGATACGTGCAATAAATAAATACATAGACATATTATTTCAAACTTAAGAAAAGAAAAACCTTGAAAGAAGCCAGAAAAGAAAAAATAGTTTGTCCATTGAGGAGCAAAGATAGAAAATACATCCAACTTATTCTCAGAAACTATGCAAGCAAGAAGAGAGGGGATGAAATATTTAAAATATTGAGGGAAAAGAAAAACCCCACCAGAATTTTGTATTCCATGAAAATTTCTTCAAAATCAAAAATAAAATAAAAACATTCTTAGACAAACATAAAATGAGGACATTTGTTGCCGACATACCTAACTTGCAAAAGTGTTTAAAGATATTCTTTGGAGAGAGAGAAAAAATGATACAGGTAATAAACAGATATACATAAAGAAATGAAGAGTATCAGAGAAGGAATAAGTGAAGCTACTGTTTGTATTCTTGATTGACCTAACAGATACTTTTTTCAAAATAAGAACAGTAATGTATTGCTATATTTGTATTACTGTTGTACTTACACATAAGTGAAATAAATGACAGAATGGTACAAGGGACAGCAAGGAAGAATTAGGATTACTTTATTACTATGAGTACTTATACTACTCATTAAGTATACAGTGAAAATGGAGCTGGATTGGTTGTAAACCAATATATTGTAAACAATATACATTTTTATAGTAGGGAAACTACTATAAAAAGAGGAAATAAGAAG